GTACTCTCCCTCCTGAGAACACCAGGTCCAGAGCTGGGTCCTGGGCTCCCCTTACAGGATGTGTAACCTCAGAGAGAAGAAGGGTTGTGGCCCAGCTCAGACAAAACGAGGGTGCCTGCTGTCGGCCTGGCCTCAGGCTGCCCCCCACCACACTCGGATCTCTCCTCAGCCCTTCCCACTCCCCTTTAGATCTCAGCAAAGAGACGTCCCTCCCTCCTTCCCCTTTCTCCCCAGGCTGGCCGAGGCGTTCTGATGACAAAGCCGGTCTGTGCTTGTGGCCGGGAGTGGCCTGCCTGCCTGGGCTGCCAGCACCGGGATCCTGAGCCAGCCCACCAGCCGGATCCCTGGCCCCGACTGCTTGCTGCTCTCTCTCGGCCTCCCCAGGACACAGTACCTGAGGCTCTGCCAAGCTGTCCTTCCTCCTGGCGTCCTGCTGTGTGGCCAGCCTGCCTTATGAAATGTCCAGGGCTGGGCCTGCCCTGGGGCGGGGCCGCCCTGGCCTGGAGCCTGGGCTGAGATTCGCAGCCACCTCCCTCCCTGTGCCCGAGAGTGTGACCCCTGCTGGACCCGAGCTAGATCCGGGCCAGAACGGAGACTTCCTCCTCTAAATCCCCACAGAGACTCTTATCAACCCGCCAGGCGATGGTTCCAGACAGGCCCCTGCCCTTCCCCGGGGGGGCGTGCACGGCTTTCCCTTCACGTGTCTGGGACGGTCCCACCCGGCGTCCCCATCCATCCTGGCCCGCCTTATGTAACTCCTTGGCGACGTCCACGAATCCACATCCCCTTGCCACTGCCCAAGCACCTCACCGGTAAGTCTCCTTAATGAACCCTTGAGGTAATGAGGGGGTTGCCAGCCTCCAGGCGGTGGCTCTGAGAATTATGCTGTGGGGTGGGGCCCAGTGGCCCGGAAGAGGAAGGAAAACCCTGCCCCCCACCCCCCACCCCAGCTCACCCTGAGTCTCAGTTCCCATCTGCAAAATGAAGAGGCAGATCCAGAGATGGCTGGAGTCCAGAAACACAATCTCAGGCCACGCCCTCTGTGTGTCAGTGTCAACACCATCAACACCTCGTCTAGCGCCCCTCACGGAGCCTGGCTCCGCAGCCTGGCATTTTACACGGAGGAAATGGGGTCCCAGAGAGGAGACAGGACTTGACCACACAGGGCACGAGTGGCAGGGCTGGGACCCACTTGGGAAGCGTCCATTCCTAGGTGTCCCCTCCCACCCCCGGGGAAGAGCAGCGCCCTCTGCCCTCCGGGGCGGCTGTGTGATGACAAGTGTCACCATGGTGGTTCCTGGGCTCCCGCTCCTCAGGTGCCTCAGCGCTGCCAGGCACCTGTCCTCTGCCCTGCCCTGGCCTCCACCCCCTCACACCTGTGGGAGCCAACACAAAGGGGGTGATTCCCTGGCAGCTGCTGGTGTCAGACAGGCAGGGGTTAGGTAACAGGTGTGGGGGCAGGAACATCCTGTGCCATCACCCTGTGCCAGCTACCCTGGACCTGCTGCCACTGTCCCCGCTGCCCTTTTGCCTTGGTGCCCTGGATCTGCCTCTGATCCTGGCCTGGGGCCTGCGGGCCGCCCCGCCCCTGGGAGAAGCTCCTCACCACCCCCACCCTCCCTGCCTACCTGGGAGGGCAGGAGAGGTCTCCTGGCCCACACCTGCTCTGGCGGCCTCCGGAGTCGTTAGCCACTTGGGACAGGGGTCAGGGCCTGCAGAGGCCCCTGTCCTCTGTGAGTGATGGAGCCCCCAGCCGCTGCCTGTCACGTGGCTCAGCATGTGACAGCCCAGCCCTGCTGTCTGGAGCCGAGCCAGGTAGAGGCAGAGGCAGAGGCAGAGGCAGAGGCAGAGGCAGAGGCAGAGGCAGAGCTGGCTCTAGGTGGGGCTGGGCTAGGGCTGAGCCTGGCAGCCTTTGGCTAGGAATCAGGCTCAGAGAGGGACAGCCACTGGACTAAGGCCACACAGCAAATCAGGGACCCAGCTGGGGAAGTACTGGTGAGTAGGAGGGGTGTTGCAGGATCTCGAGGGGCCCCTCCCTAGCCAGGGATCTCCCCCTGCAGGGACTACTCCTGAACTTGTCATGAATTCAGGGACACCCTGGAAGGTCCCCAAAGAGGCCTGACCTCCTGGCACCGGGGTCCTGACTGGGGCTGGCAGTGAAGCCCCCAGTCTGAGGGGCACTGTTTCTTGGGGGAGAAATAGGGGCCAGTCCTCTCCCCTCTCTCGATTGGATGCCTCTGTTACGGATGCGACCAACAACAGGCTCAGAGAGGAGCAGAGACCAGGCCAGGGCCACAGCGAGAGGGGCCGCCGGGGATTCTAGCCCAGCCAGGCCAGACTTACCGGCCCTTGTTTAGGAGCTGGGTGGGGAGGTCACCCCTACTCCTGGGAGCCCCTGAGCTGAACATCTGGGTGCCAGGCACTGGGCAGGGTCCGTGGCACATCTCGGCTCAGGGACCTCCCCACAGCCAGTGATGATCATCGTCCCCACGGCATTTTGTTTTAAAAAGTGGTGAGACCCGCCTCAGTGCAGGGAAGTGGTGTTGGGCGAGTGTGCAGTGGGCCCAACAGACCACAGGAATGCACATGTAACAAGGTCAAATACTCAGCTGTAGGGTAACCTCTTTTTCAGGCAGGGCCTGTGAGGGCTGAGAGAGAAACCATGCAGCATTAGGGAAATCAGCGCGCAAGAAGCAGCTGCTATCCGCTGAGCACGTGCCGTCTTGCTGCTGGGGTGGGAATGGGAGACGTTTGGGACACGTCGGTGCTGGTGGGCCTTCCACGAGGCAAACCACCGCTCCCCTCCTACCTTTGCTTTCTGGTTGTTTCTTAAAACACTGATCCATCTCCTCTTGGGAGAAAGACACCAAACCTTCCTTCTGGTGGGAGCTACAAAACCAGTGAACCCAACAAGCCCTGTCCCTTCTCCCCCTGAGCAGGCACGCCCCCCGGAGACCTTTACCCTTCCTGGTACAGCACACGGCCACTCAGGGTGACCCACACTTGGCAGCTCGAAGCCCACCCACTGGGCCTGTGACTTCCCCCTCGCGCCCCGCCCAGTGGTGTGCCCGACCCCGCCATGCCCCCATGGGTCTCAGGTGCAACCTCTAGGGCAGCTCGGGGAGCTTGCTGGCCTCTTCCCAGGCCGCCCGTCTCTCCTCTCTCCCCCTCTAGGACTTTTGTGGGCTTGACCTCTTTCCGATGTGGTGACAACTAATAGTGTCCCCTGTCCGTCTCCCTCCACAAGAGCCACCCCCAGGTCTGCTCTGCCTCTAAGTGCTTCTTGTCCTCCGCCGCCAGCCTGTCCCCCTCCGTCCTGGACAGCGTGCTTTTCCGCTTGCTCTTATGCTGCAGGTGAGGAATACTGTGGGGTGTGCCCAATAGTTGAGGTGAAGGGGCTCCCCACACTAAAGCCCAGAGGAGACCAGGCTCCCAGCTGGGAGGACGCCCAGGGATCCTGCTTCATGGTGAGGGCCCTTCCCAGGCCTGTCCCTCCCTGGCTTGTCCTGGGTTCTCTGTTGGAGGAGGCGGAGGAGATGTGGCTGCCAATCCAATGCACTTGGCTGAATCATTTCTTTCCTAGTGGCATCAGGCAGCGAAGCGGACAGAGAGGAAAGGGTCCTTTACGGATCAGAGATGCTAGTCTATACCCAGGCCCCAGGGCCCCTTTCCAATATGGGTTTAGAGGGGTGCCCTCCAGGGAGGAGCAAGCGGTCATTCTTGGTGTCATCATTCTTGGTGTCTTCCTCACTCTCGTGCAGAGCCTATGGACCCGGCCTCCCAGCCTCTGCTCCATCAAGCCCACGTCCTGAGGACACACCACCTGCCTCCCAGCCATCTTCCTGGACGCAACTCCTGCCGCCCCATGAATTCTACAGGACCGCATCCTCCAGGGCATCAAAGTCCGCTGCCCCCACATCAGCCCCGTGGCCTCCTGTATCTCCTCACCCCTCCCCACCCGGCGCCATGGCCACGCCCTGGACTTTGTCATCACAGGTGTCCATTCTCTGACCATGTCTCCAGCCTCCTGGCCTCCCAGCACCCACTGCATCCCTAATCCTCGCCTCCTCCTTGCCCCTGGACCTCGGGTCCTGCCGTCTCTCCTGCTCCTTCCATATGCCCCACCTCTAGGCACCACTGGATGATTCCACCTGTGTTGTTTACCTATATCTGCACGTGGGTGTGGTCTGGAGAAAGTTCCACCAGCTCTCAGCCTGAAGCCTCTGCAAACGCATGCACTCCATACCCCCAGCTCTCCGCCCTCCCAGCAAGGCTTCTAGGATAGGAATCTGTCACCACTTCACTCGCCCATCCATCCACCCACATTTACTGAGCACCTACTAAGTGTCTGACACAAGCCTCTGCATGAGGGATACATGGTGAGCAGTCGCCTGGGGGACAAACAATTAAACCACAGAAAAGCAGGAGAAAAGTAGTCTAAACTCTTCTCCAAAATGGTTGGGCCAGTTTACAGTCCCACTAAGTGCACAACAGTCCCCTTTCTTCTACCCCCAGGCCAGCACTTGTTACCTCTTGTCTACTGGATGACGGCCATTCTGACAGGTGTGAGGTCTATCTCACTGTGGTTTTGATGTGCATTTCTCTGATGATTAGGATGTTGAGCACCTTTTCATTATGTATCTGTTGGCCATTTGGATGTCTTCTTTGGAAAAAATGTCTAGTTAGTCCCTCTGCCCATTTTTTAATTGAATTGTTTGGGTGGGTTTTTTTATTGAGTTGTTTGAGTTACTTATAAATTTTGGATATTAGCCTCTTATCTGACACATGGTTTGCAAATATTCTCTCCTACTCTGTAGGTTGCCTTTTTTTTTTTTTTAAGAGAGAGAGAGAGAGTGGAAGGGAGGAGGTGAGACAGAGAGAGAGAGAAACATGGATGTGAGAGGTGTCAGACAGGCAGGGGTTAGGTAACAGGTGTGGAGGCAGGAACATCCTGTGCCATCACCCTGTGCCAGGACCCAAACCGATTAGGGCTAAAGGAAACATTTAAAAGGGAGTTGGGCCCTGACTGGTTTGGCTCAGTGGATAGAGCGTCAGCCTGCTGACTAAAGGGTCCTAGGTTCGATTCCAGTCAAGGGCATGTACCTTGGTTGTGGGCACATCCCCAGTTGGGGGTGTGCAGGAGGCAGCTGATTGATGTTTCTAACTCTCTATCCCTCTCCCTTCCTCTCTGAAAAAAAAATTAATAAAATAAAATAAAACAAAGAATTCTGCTCTATTTATAAAAAAATAAAAATAAAACGGAGTTGGAAGCCCTGCTCTCATGCACTACCACTCACCACACTTTGCAGACTCCAACAGAAAGAAGCCTACTTTGCTACTCTAGTAGGAGGAGGGAAGATTTTCTCCTTGCTTAGCAACAGACCTAGCCAATGAGAAACATCCATGAATCAGCCAATGGAAAGCTACTACACTTTAGAACTCCCAGTTTCTTCCAATGGACATCCTATATAATAAAGAGGTAATATGCAAATTCACCCTCAAGCCCTTGTGTCACAAGATGGCCACCCCTTGTTGTTACAAGATGGCCAGCAGGGGAGGGCAGTTGGGGGGGACCAGGCCTGCAGGGGAGGGCAATTGGGGGAGATTGGGTAGGCAGGAGAGCAGTTAGGTGTCAATCAGGCCAGCAGGGGAGCGATTAGGGGGTGATCAGGCTGGCAGGCAGAAGTGGTTAGGAGCAATCAGGCAGGCAGGCAGGTGAGTGGTTAGGAGCCAGCAGTCCTGGATTGTGAGAGGGATGTCCAACTGCCAGTTTAGGCCTAATACCGCAGGGATTGGGGCAAAACCGACAGTCAGACATCCACTGAGGGATCCCAGATTGGAGAGGATACAGGCTGGGCTGAGGGATAACCCCCCCCCAAGTGCACAAATTTCGTGCACCAGGCTTCTAGTCCTATATAATAAAAGGCTAATATGCAAATAGACCGAACAGTGGAACAACCAGAACAACTGAACAATCGGTCACTATGATTGCACTGACCACCAGGGGGCGTGCGTGGAACATGGTGGGCGTCAGCCGCGGCAGGATGGTGGAGCAGGTGAGTGGGGGCACCAGACCAAGGTGGGGCACCAGTTGCTGTCATCAGGGTAAGCCTCTGGTGGTTACTGAAAATTCTTTGCTCCTACGTGCCACGGTGCCACCTGGCGCTCACACCTGCTGCTGGCACCCGGCACTGGGCCCGATCACTTGGCACCATCAGTGGGTGTGAGCGGCAGCTGCCGGCCCCAATCGTCCCTCAGGGCTTCTCCACCTCCCCCCTGCTCCTGAGAGGTGATCGCGGCAGCAGCTGCCACTCACACCCACTGACGGTGCCGGCCCTGCTTGCACCTGCTACTGGCACCAACCCAAATCACTCCGCATCGTCAGCAGATGTGAGCGGGGCCAGCGCCATCAGCGTGTGGGAGCAGCAGTGGTGGGAACGGGGCTGCTGGCAGACAGGGGACCAGGGGCTGTGGCAGGAGGGGCTGAGACCCACCCCTGTGCCCACTACAGCCTTTTGGCCCACAGTTCCTTTCAAGGTGCACAAATTCATGCACTGGGCCCCTACTTGTTTATAACAGCCCCTCCCAACTGACCCTTTTTCTCTACAAAGTAACATTCCTCTACTTTTTTCTCCAGACTTACCTACGGTTTGCCATGGCTAACATGTCCCGAATTGCAATTCCTCAGCCATTCCAATTCCTCTGAATAAACCCATTTTGCTGGTAAAATAACTGTTTTATTTTTGAGATTGACACCAGTGTCAAAGAACGTCTTCCCTACATTTTCTCCTAGGAATTTCATGGTCTCGGGTCTTATGTTTAAATCTACTCTATTTTAGATTTAATTTTTGTAAGAGGTGTAAGATAGAGGTCCAATCTCATTTGTCTACGTGTGGTTATCCAGTTTTTCTAACACCATTTGTTGAAGAGGCTACCCTGGGAAATGCATGGTTTAAAAATCTTCCCAAGTGTTTCTGACCAGGGAAACAGCCAGTGCGATGGAGTGTCCCCTCGGGTAAGGCTGCAGCCCTGGACCCAGTGGGGTGGATGTGGGGGGCTCTGACCCCTCCTGCAGGGTGGTGATGGGGTCACCCCACTGTAGCCCAGCAGCCACCGCAATCACGGCCTCCGAGTGGCCCTGCCAGAGCTTCCACTTGCAGGTGCCAAAACGGAAGCTGGAGGTGCCCCGGGGGGTGGCACAGGCTGCCCTGTCCTGTGGTAGGAGCCCTGGGGCGGGCTGCTATGGGGGCTCTTTGCTGACCTGCAAACACACACATTGGGGCCTGGAGGTGGGGCTAGGGATGACGTAGTAACATGGAGGGGAGCTTATCATGGGCCTCGCACTCTTCTAAAGCTTTGCTTTAACTCAATCCAGCAATAGCTCTAGGAAGTAGTGCCCAGCACCCCGTTTTACAGGTGAGGAAACTGAGGCACAGAGAAGCGGCGTTAATTCCCAAAGACACCAAGCCAGGAGGTGGCTGAGTGGGGATTTGAACCAGCATCTCACATGCTGAGACTGGGTCCTGGTCGCACATAGACACTCCCCTCTAAGACACACACACACACACACACACACACACACACACACACACCACCTCCGCAGCTGTGCCCGGGCCACTCCTCCGGGTAGGAAGGGGGCGGGACGGGGGCAGGTCCCCGCCTCCAGGAGGAAGTGCCGGACGCTGCTGGGACCCGGGGGCCGCCACCACCGGTCCTCGGGCGG